AGTATAAGGAAATTTGAGAAGAATATTTCTCTATTTCAAACTTTCCCAAAACATGAAAAAGAGAGGATTTAGAGTTTCTTTACCCTTAGAGGAATGCTTGACTAGTCTCCTCCTAGAATCCCTTAATCTCCTTCTTCTTCTTCTATGGTGTGCTAGTGGCTCAAGATTTGGAGAGTGGGAGAAAATATTTGAGAGGGAATGGAGAGTGTGTGGCCGGATTTTTGAGTGGGAAAAAGCTAGGAGAAAAAAAATGAAGCTTATCCTATGTTGGTTCCTTTTATAGGCAACTTGGAAACTATTTTTTTTAACACCAATTCCACTCCATCATTCAACCAAATTTTTGGTTCAAATCCCCCTTTCTTGGCCGGTTTTGGAAGGAGAAAAGGAGAAGCAAATTTGCCATTAATTCCCTTTCAACCACTACAATCACATCACCTTAACATGTCGTCCACTTGCACACTCAACTAGCTAATTTTGGCTCTATTTTTTCTATGCATGGCCGGCCAAAGTGGAGAAGGAGAGAGAGAAAAATAAATCCTACCCCTTGTACTTTAGTCCACTCTCTTAAGTTACCTTTGAATCAGGTAAAAATCATACTGACTGTAAAGGGTACTTAGCTGACAGGAAATTCTTGTTTCTAACAGTTCTCTTTTTTTTCTACTACTTATTTACAGTTCAACTTTTAAATCCTCGTCTGCTTTGATATCACGTTAAATTCTTACTCGCGTAATATCTTAAACTGTTTCAAGTCTTGAAATTAATTCTAGACTGAATAAATTCTAAATTTAACTTTTCTGCATTATATACCGGGAATGATATTATTTCTGACGGTGTCAACTCCTTAGCTCACATTGTACCCTTCTACTATAGGTATCTATCTTGTGACTTTAACCTAGCTGTCTGGCAATTAAGGATTTTCTCTTCTTTAAAAATGTCAGTGCGTTTTTTTTTTTACGCTGCTAACATCATGCTGTGTTTGGAGATTCTTGAAATTAAGATTCTCAAACTATACTTGTACTGAAAATTATTCCGCCTTAAAGTACGGCAAGAATTTATCGATCGAATTTACTTGATCGAAAACATGAACTTAACATGAAATCTGCTACAGAATTTAGGAATACATATATTGATTCCATAAATCCTTCAGTCACATAATATTTTTTAGGAAAATCCTTAGCTTAAATAAATAAATTGTATTATTTAAAGTTTGGAATTTTCTCAGTCATTACACACACACACACAAATATGTACTTTCTTTCACCAATGCTTTCAACCTGCATAGGACCCATAAGATCCATGTGAAGTAGTTCAAGAATCCGTGTTGTGGTTATATATTGTAACACCTTGTGTGACACCTTTAGCTGCTTTCCAATCTGGAAAGCCCTATATATTCCTAGTGGTATTGGTCCGAGTTTAGGCACTCATCTAACTGCCCATGCATCAACTATCTTTTTTAAGTTTCTGTAATTAAGATGTCCGAGCTTTTGATGTCATACTTCAATTTCTTCTTTAGTAGTTTTGAGACACGAGAGTGGATGAACCAACATGTAGCAATTATCAGATGATCTTGATCCTTCCATCACACAGTTTTCTTCCTCATCAATCACACGACACTTGTCTTTGGAGAAACTTACAAACAATTTTTGATCACATAACTGACTAATACTTATGAGATTAGCCTTCAACCCTTCCACTAGTAAAACATATCTAGAGTTCCTTTCCCAAGCACTCTCCCTTTAACACCATCACCAAAGGTCACATGTCCGTCAGTCGAACTTTTGAATTTTTTTAGAAAACTTCTTCCACCAGTCATATGTCTAGAGCATCAACTGTAAAAATACCATAAGTTGGTAGTACTTACTTTCAAAGACGTATAGGCCACATGACATCTTATGTCAGATTTTCTTACCCACACTTTACGTGTAATTCTACTATCTCCATCAACTTTCCTCCTTGATGTCTTTCTTGTGAATTTTGGCGAATTTGGAAGCATTCCTTGTTTTAAGGCATTCAGGTACTTGTAACACCGTGGTCGATTGTGTCTTGGAAAATTGCAATAGTAGCAAATGGGAATAAATGTTTTTTGTTGTGAGGGAGCATGGGTAATAGTCTTAAAGTGAGGGGCTTTTGACACAGACTGAGATTTTTCTTTAACAAAGACTGACTTGGATGACTGGCTTTCTCCATTGTAGCCTAGTCTAAAATGATCATAACTAGATTTTCCCATGGACAAAATATGGTTTAGTTTAGCAGTACCAGTGTTAATCATTTTCAAGGTCTTCTGAGTATGCTCTAATTTTACATTAGCTTCCGGAAGTCTTTTATCCATTTCAGCAATCTTAGACTCATGGTTAATCTTTAGAGCCTCATTCTCTTTTAAAGTATCAGTCAATTTCTTTTCAAGTGACTTGTTCAACTTGGCCACCTGAATCCATTTGTTGAACATTGATTCATAAGCCTCCTGAATAGTCTCCTGTGTCAGTTCTCCATCAATACTAAAACTGTCAGAATCAGAAAGATCTTTGTTTTGTTCTGGTTTTTTTAGGGTATTACAGATGATGTTCTAACATCGTTTGTGACATGATATGCAATACTGGTGTTGGAAACATCCTGATATACATTGAAAGTGATGTAATTGTTCACATGATCTTCATTTTCCTGGCTACCATCAGATTCTTCATCACTCCAAGTCACGTTAAATGTTTTCTTCTTCTTCTTAAGCATATTTGCGCATTTCGATTGGATGTGTCCATATCCATCACACTCTAGACACTGGATGCCTCGGTTTCATGTCTTAGCTTCTGAATTACTTGCAACATCTGTATTCTTCTGGAAGTTGTTGAACTTGCCAGAATTTGGAGTGAATCCCTTACCTTTTACTCATTTCAAAATGTGATTGAAATTCTTTGTCAAAAGAGCAAACGATTCTACCAAACCTTGTGGATCTCCTATATCTTCTTCCACAATCAATTTTTGCAATTCTGCTTGAAAGGCAGTTTCTTTCTCCTGCTTGTTCTGGTCAAGATTCATCTCAAATGTTCTCAATGATCCCATCAACTCATTAAGTCTCATAGTTTGAATGTTTTTTGCCTCTTCAATAGCAGTGACTTTATAAGCAAATCTCTGTGGCAGTGATCTCAGGGTTTTGCTAACAAGTTTTGCCTCAGAGATTTTTTCACCAAGAGTAAAAAATTAATTAACTATATCACACAATCGTGAATTAAATTTAGAAATAGTTTCAGTTTCAAGCATACGAAGAGTGTCAAACCTGGTTGTCAGCATATTCAATTTTGATTGTCTGACTGTGGCTGTTCCTTCATGAGCTACCTCCAGAATCTCTCATGCTTCTTTTACCGATTCACATGTGGATATCATCTTGAACTGATTAACATCAACTCCATTGAATATTGCATTAAGTGCACGTGAGTTGTAGTTGGCCAACTTGTCTTCATCAGTGCTCCATGACTCTTCAAGCTTGAGAGTCTCTTTTTCTTATGCATCCTTAGTTACTGGATGCTTCCAGCCAGTCAGGACTGCACACCGTGCCTTTTCATCTTGAGCCTTGATGAAAGCCTTCATCTGAGCCTTCCAATAAGAATAATTTGAGCCATCGAGGAGAGGTGGACGTGATATTGAACCTCCTTCCTTCAGCAAATCCATCTTAGACGTATCAGATCAATTTTTCCAAGTTCTCACCGAACTTCTGGTCAATGAACCACTCTGATACCACTTGTTAGATATGATGTTACGTTTAGTCTTCCAGATGATGTTGGAACACTATCTGGAACACTACTAGCTTAGTTTACTATTTTGATTAACTTAGCTAAAGAAAGTAATAGTGCAGAAGTAAATAGACGCACAATATGATATCGCAGTTCAGTGCGCACACCTACATCTGTGGGGCCACGCCCAAACAGTAAACAGTTTCACTATGATATAAGAATTATAACACTCACGAACTTATCACTCAATGACTCCCTCCTGGACTATGACGCCGTTATGATGAATCCTCACAATGACTCTGTTTAGTGTGTTCCACACGTCTTCAAATCTAACTACTGAACTCCCTTCAGTAGAACATACTTTCACACAAAAAGGGCTCAAAACTTTCAACGAGTTCTAACTTCTCTCAACAGCACACACTCTGGAAATTTCTGCGCCAACAAAAGCGTCAACCTTTTTCCTGTAACTAAAGCCTTTTATATTGTTTTCAAAATGTTCACAGAATCTTGCTCAAGAAATGGCTAGACTTTTTTTCCCCCTTAAGAAAAAGGGTGATCATTAGTGCATGTCGCCCCATCTTCTTCGTCACTTTTGAAATTTTAGAGCCCACCATTTGACCAGAAAAGATCTGACCAAATTTTGCACATAAGATTGACTCAGTTTTCACTCATGTCATCACATACCCAACATCGCAACATAATAATGGCTAGGTAAGGGCCTTAAAATGGGATTGTAGAGTATTGAACCACGAACACATTCTTAAAAGAGAAGAAGGAAATGCATCCTTACTGCTACACCAACATGGTATAAATAACAAGGCTTATATCCAACCATGCAGGCTCTTATCTTTTTTTATTTATTTTATTTATTTAATTATTTATTTTTTTGACTTCTAGTTATTAAGGATCTTCAATTTTTGGTCTTTTGCTTCATCAGAAACAAATATTCAACCTCAATATGGCACAACGTACATGAAGTAATTTGTTCTTTGAATGGGTTGAGTTCATAATTGTTCCTCTTGTTGTCTTGTTGTTCTTCTAGAGTAATAAAAAAAGAAAAATGAACCCTTAGCTCTATGAACACCGGTATTTATTATAACTAATTACCAATACTATAAATGCAGAAGAACATCACATCATTTGGTTTAAGCACGTTATAAAACGAACTATATATATATATATATATATATGATTCTACATTTAACAAGATATATAGTTATAATCAAGCCTCTACTAATTGAGAGCAGTGGATCCAGCTAATAACACAAAGAACTTTGGCTAATTATTAACTTTCCTACAATTCATCCTAATTTCCCCATCATTCCCTGTAAGAACATTCATATTACCCATCTTGATCATGGAATCCCCAAAATCTTTATAGAACTTTTTAGGGTTGTTATTGTAGTACTGAACCAAACTATCACTCTCACCCCCATCACCCTTGAAGAGCTCCTGATCGGAATGGAGAAGACCCTTTGATCCAATCAAACCCTTAAAGTAGGCGGTATCAAATTTTGCTGGCGTGGTTCCATCGAGTGCCGTCGTGTTATCGTCTCCTCCGGTTGCGGGGCAGATCTTTTGCCTGGAGGCCTTGAAATTAGAGTCAATGTTGGTTTCGTTGTAGATTCGGGTTCTGAAATTGACACATCTGGCTAGCCCTAGGGTATGGCCTCCTGAGAGGACAACGAGGTCTTTTAGCTTAAGGCCGTGTGACTCGAAGATGGAGACAAGTTGAGAGGAGCTGAAGAATGGAGTAGGGAGATTGGTATTTGCGTCGTTAAAGCTTGCAGTTCTTGCATCTCTTCTACCTAGCAACACTTCGTAACTAGTACCTCCCAACTATATATATGTATATAACAACAGGCAAATGATTAGTTACTGAAGGATATTGAATAGAAGGTATGAAAGAAATAAATTATGAAATAGGTACATGTAACAAGTTGGCAATAGCTATATCTAATTCATCTGTTTTCTGTTAAATTTTCATGTTGTTTGATCTGATATTATTTTAGTATACCATTTCGATTTGTCCTTATGAAGTCATTCATATGTGTGTAATTCTAATAGGTTAATACAGTTATTTTTCTAACTCTTTTACTTTTGAAGAAAAAAACTGGGCCCACAAACACATTAGAATGAAGTAATATAACATTTCATGTTTTAGTACAACTTAACCTTGAAAATATGCACTATCTTTAAAGTGTTCCTTCGCATGCATATAAAAAATCTAGTAAATAATTATATAAGTAGAAAAGTCGTATCTAAATATTAGAACATTCATCAAAATAACAACAAAAATGTTAGAGAAAAATTCAATAAAAATTTCGCATCTTAAAACTATTATCTACCAACAAATATATATATATATATATATATATATATATATATTCACATAATTATGTTATGTCCTGCTACAAGTCTACAAACATAAGAATATATGAAAAGAAATTAGAAGGAACTCACTAGGTCAACAGAGTCGCGAGATGCAACAGCTAAAATGTCTGCACAAGAGACCACGTTGCCTTTGCACTTTTCATTAAGAGTGCTTTTGATTTCATCAACCACATCGAAACCCCTCACTGAGTTTAAATTCGGAATGGCTGTCTTCTCACCAGTGAAGGTATCAGTGTCGTCAAGCAAAATTGATCCGTCACAACCCTGTAATCCATATCAACACAATAAATAAATATCTGGATGCATATATATTAACGATGAACACTTGAAAGTCGAACGTTTTGTTTTGTATTACATGACATGATGAAACTATGTCACATATATATAATAACCCATAAAGTAAATACATATGATAACTACAGATTGTGATTCCTTGTTTGCAATTTTCTTACTGTTAATGATACTGGAGACAATGCTCGTCTACCCTTCTAATGAAAATATAATATGGCTCCACCTCAAACTATAAGAGTTTGAGACTTTTTAAGGACTTAAGGACTTACATATTAAGAAGTCATTCGAATTTTTTTTACCACATAATACTTACATATTAAGTATGGTGGTCCATGATGTGTTCTTATACTAAAGTGAAATTCGGATTTATTTTACTTCTCTGTCATTCGGATTTCCTACCAATTAACAATAAATTGCTTGTAATATAATGATGAAATTAGTTTAGAAGAAACAGAAAATTCATGATATTATATATATTACCACAGATATCCACAACACAAAATTAACCCCCTCAAAAAAAAAAAAAAACATTTTATTATGATTCTATATATTAGTATATACATCTTACGTTGACAAAGCAATCATGAAAGTGGAGGCGGAGAAGTGAAGCTCCCATTCGGCTCTCACGATTAATGGCACGTGCGACTGCTGATCTGATGAGGCCCAATGCCTGAGGGCATGACTTTTCATAGAAATCAGTTGTGAGTTGTGCACATGCAGGAATCATAATAGCAGTAAATACAACTAACAGGTGTACTATTACCACTAATAAAGACTTATTACGAGATGCCATTTTGATCCTACTACTTACAACAACTAGTTCTTTTAATTGATACTCCAAAATTCTTTGGAACATGTGTTTATATAGAGGTAGGAGAACCACCGGTTGATGTAGAATATATATATATATATATATATATATAATATTGATAGATAATTACAAGATGTCCGGCCATATGAGCTCCATTGACCAAGACAATTGTATAAAATACTAGTATATAATATATGTATGCAGGTCGGTAATCGTATTTATGTTCACAAATTTCCTTGTAAGGGAACTTCTATGGCGAAGATAATTCGGGCCTAGTTCTAGTATAGGTACGTTTGTGTATGCGAATATAAACTCTTGCTTATAATTATATAAATGATAACAATAATATATGAATTTAGCGCAACTAACTTAATGAAGACTTTTATTATTCCAAATTCGAAATTATACAATGTACCAGAAGATTAAAAGAAAAAAAAATCCTCCTATAGTTCACTATCCAATAATATTACAAGCCAGCTACAAGGTATACAAATTCAAACGAACCTGAAAGCTGGACTGATGGAAACATGGTAATTAGTCAACTTCTGAAGGAAAAAGAAAAACTCATAATGTCAAAAGTCAATTCTGTTGTCGTTTTTATGTGCCTACAATATTCATGATCTCAACAAAACATTCGTAATCCAAAAAAAAATACACAGAGTATTGGTAAAGGTTTTGGAATATCCGCGATCTCTTCGAAATGTTGACAAATGGCAGATTATAATATCTGATATGGAAAGTAGAAACTTTGGTTTTTTGTTTTTTTATCTCTTTGCGGAAGAGTGTAAGTGAAAAAAAATAAGAGAGTTTATTCGGTAGTCCATCCTATAGTAGTTTTAGTTTTTAATGTTGGATTAAGTTAAAGTCACATAGATTAAAAAATTACGTAAAATTGATTGATTTTAATATAAATTTGATGACTAAAAAATAAAAAACTACCGGAATCCATTTTTATAAGGACCACCAGAGAAAGTCCTAAAACATAAATAAACAAATAATAGCGTGTGTTGTACTATTTCACTGCACTAGCCTTATCCTTTTTTCTTTTTCTTTGGAGAGAATCGAGTAGATAATTAAGCCCCCGTTCATTTCACTAGTTCGAATCACAATTCATGTTTTTTTGTTAAAATGTTTTATCTCACAAAAATTGAAAATTCAATTTGTTCTGCTATATTATTTTCTCTCACATGAATTCACTTATTTTAACTCAAGTTTTCAACTCGAACGAGCAAAAAGAAGGGAAAATCAACAAAATGAGCACATACGCAAACACCGTTCGTTTCGTTTCATTCGAGTTGAAAACTTAAGTTAAAAAGTAAATTCATATAAGAGAAATACTGTAGTAAAAAAAGTTAAAATTTGATATTTTGTGAGAGAAAACACTATAACGAAAACTTATATTGTGATTTGAACGAGCGAAATGAACGGGAATCATTGCAATTAATTATTCAACATTCTACCGGATATACAAATGATGAAAATTTCAATGACATTAGAGTAACAACCAAAGAGGAGGGGAAAAGCTCTGGAATCATGCTTGGTGATTGGTGCGGATCTGAGAATTTGCATTTAAACATGCGTAGGAAGGAATAAAGAGTACAATGGATCCTAATTATTTTTCGGTGGATGTGCACATTAAATCTCAATTTTTGAACGAGGGAAAAAAAAGAAAACATTGGATTTTTTTTTTTGTTTTTTTGCTTTTATCATATGATAAAAGCAAATTTTCCATCGGCTTAGACTTCTTTTATTTTTAATTGGAGGTGGGTAGATTTGAATTCTATAACTCACGGTTAGGTCAAGTGTGAACTTACTAATAAGATATAATCCATATGAGTTCTAGTTCTTTTTCTTCATCTTTAACTTTATAAGAGTCAAGTGTGAACTTTTTGATAAGATATGTTCCATATGAGTTCTAGTTCTTTTTCTTTTCCTCAAGCCTTATAATTCTCCACCAATTCTTATGAAGTTGTTCATATATATATATATATATATATATATAATATTGATAGATAATTACAAGATGTCCGGCCATATGAGCTCCATTGACCAAGACAATTGTATAAAATACTAGTATATAATATATGTATGCAGGTCGGTAATCGTATTTATGTTCACAAATTTCCTTGTAAGGGAACTTCTATGGCGAAGATAATTCGGGCCTAGTTCTAGTATAGGTACGTTTGTGTATGCGAATATAAACTCTTGCTTATAATTATATAAATGATAACAATAATATATGAATTTAGCGCAACTAACTTAATGAAGACTTTTATTATTCCAAATTCGAAATTATACAATGTACCAGAAGATTAAAAGAAAAAAAAATCCTCCTATAGTTCACTATCCAATAATATTACAAGCCAGCTACAAGGTATACAAATTCAAACGAACCTGAAAGCTGGACTGATGGAAACATGGTAATTAGTCAACTTCTGAAGGAAAAAGAAAAACTCATAATGTCAAAAGTCAATTCTGTTGTCGTTTTTATGTGCCTACAATATTCATGATCTCAACAAAACATTCGTAATCCAAAAAAAAAAAAAAAAAAAAAAAAAAAATTTATTAGAAAAAAAAAAAAAAAAAAAAAAAAAAAAAAAAAAAAAAAACACAGAGCATTAGTAAAGGTTTTGGAATATCCATGATCTCTTCGAAATGTTGACAAATGGCAGATTATAATATCTGATATAGAAAGTAGAAACTTTGGTTTTTTGTTCCTTTTTTATATCTTTGCGGAAGATTGTATGTGATTAAAAATAAGAGAGTTTATTCGGTAGTCCATCCTATAGTAGTTTTAGTTTTTAATGTTGGATTAAGTTAAAGTCACATAGATTAAAAAATTACGTAAAATTGATTGATTTTAATATAAATTTGATGACTAAAAAATAAAAAACTACCGGAATCCATTTTTATAAGGACCACCAGAGAAAGTCCTAAAACATAAATAAACAAATAATAGCGTGTGTTGTACTATTTCACTGCACTAGCCTTATCCTTTTTTCTTTTTCTTTGGAGAGAATCGAGTAGATAATTAAGCCCCCGTTCATTTCACTAGTTCGAATCACAATTCATGTTTTTTTGTTAAAATGTTTTATCTCACAAAAATTGAAAATTCAATTTGTTCTGCTATATTATTTTCTCTCACATGAATTCACTTATTTTAACTCAAGTTTTCAACTCGAACGAGCAAAAAGAAGGGAAAATCAACAAAATGAGCACATACGCAAACACCGTTCGTTTCGTTTCATTCGAGTTGAAAACTTAAGTTAAAAAGTAAATTCATATAAGAGAAATACTGTAGTAAAAAAAGTTAAAATTTGATATTTTGTGAGAGAAAACACTATAACGAAAACTTATATTGTGATTTGAACGAGCGAAATGAACGGGAATCATTGCAATTAATTATTCAACATTCTACCGGATATACAAATGATGAAAATTTCAATGACATTAGAGTAACAACCAAAGAGGAGGGGAAAAGCTCTGGAATCATGCTTGGTGATTGGTGCGGATCTGAGAATTTGCATTTAAACATGCGTAGGAAGGAATAAAGAGTACAATGGATCCTAATTATTTTTCGGTGGATGTGCACATTAAATCTCAATTTTTGAACGAGGGAAAAAAAAGAAAACATTGGATTTTTTTTTTTGTTTTTTTGCTTTTATCATATGATAAAAGCAAATTTTCCATCGGCTTAGACTTCTTTTATTTTTAATTGGAGGTGGGTAGATTTGAATTCTATAACTCACGGTTAGGTCAAGTGTGAACTTACTAATAAGATATAATCCATATGAGTTCTAGTTCTTTTTCTTCATCTTTAACTTTATAAGAGTCAAGTGTGAACTTTTTGATAAGATATGTTCCATATGAGTTCTAGTTCTTTTTCTTTTCCTCAAGCCTTATAATTCTCCACCAATTCTTATGAAGTTGTTCCTTTTTATAACCGGCCAATCCATTATAAGGATGCTAATCAGTATAATTCATAAATTTCATATCGAGATAGAATAAATCTCACTGTTCTATTACTTTTGTATTTTTAATACCTCAAAGCTTGTAAGTTTTAGTATATAATAAATCAATATGTACCCTTCTGTTTCGCACAAAACGTCAAGAGACCTTCACAGGTGAAAATTTTGTGTAACAAGAATATCCCAACAACAAAAGCTCTTGCAAGAATCTTTTTTTTTTTTTCCTTTTTCTTTAGTTTTTCTGAAGGAACTATTGTAAGGTTGAACAAACATAGTAGTCAATCCGTCATCAATTTATACCCTGCCCCATCCGATCTGTATTCCAGTTGCAAAGATTCAATTCATTCAAAAGTTTGTCAAACAATTATGTAAATTCAGACACGAGGATCATTTGGTGCAAAACACTGTTGGAAAAATTTGCTTAAAATTAGAGCTAGCAATCCGGATAACGACATGATGACATAACTCGAAACCCGCACGATGTTAGCGGGTTTGAGTTTATCATAAATAGGTTTGGATCAAAATCAAGTCGAACTCATAAAACATGATTAAATAGCGTGTTATTTTTAGGTTGACCCACCAACCCGCAATTAACCCGCTGTAACCTGTTTATTAAATGTGTCATATTTGAGTAATATGAATACACAACACAATTACAACTCGTTTACTTATGTTTGCTGGTCAGGTTGAAAAACAGGTTGAGAAATAGGTTGACAAGACCTTATTATCACTCATTTTATCAACGGATTGACACGACACTATTATGACCTGTTTAATAATCGGGTTAGTCGTGTCATATCGTGTCAACCCGTCAATATACAGGTCGTGTTTGGATTTTGTATTTCAACACGAATAATAAACACGTGTCAGATCTTACCATGTCAACTGAGTCGATCAACATGATACGGCAACGTGGATTGTTAACCCTACTTAAAACCTAAGCAAATAACAGAGAACGAAAAATAATGAATGAAAAACAAAATCACAAAAGCACCAAGGATTTTATAAAGGTTCATCACTACGCCTAGTTTCTGTTGCTGCAGATTCCATTATATTGTTGAAGAAATTTGTTACAGAAAAATTTATACATTGGGAGGTTGTATATTCCCTCAAACAAACTTATCAATCGAGGTATAGACTCTCTCAAATGAGCGTATATCAATCTTTATATTCATTAGTTACGTCTTCGCAACAAAAATATATTGTGTTGAGTTTTTTTTATTGAGGACTGATTTTTTTTGGGAGTTTTTCAAGTAATACTTGAAAAAAAAAAAACTATTAGTAGCTTTCTATTTTTCAACTGTCAGATTTACATTAAAATCTGTAGATTTTGCATATTTTTTTAATTTAATATGATTTTGACCGAATCTAACGGTTAAAAACTGATCTTAATACTAAGTTGGCTTATGGAGAAGATCCTTGTTTTTAATGCACTCTAAATTAACTAACATTGCGTTGAGAGTTGACAAATAATGTCATTGCACTATGGATAATAACAATAATTACAAGTATGGGTTGATTTTTAAGGATTTTACCTGCCTGACGTCGATCTTCTACAAGAATTCACTAAAGTGATAGATATATGCTCCCCACTTTGCTTCTAGACTTAGTCCTAAAGGAAAAATAAAATAAAAAAATTAATTACAAACATAGAAATAGCACCCAGCTAGATTTTTTTTTCTCTCACACTTGTGGTTATTAATTAAGGATCTTCTTCTTCTTTCTTTTTTTTTTTTTTTTTTTGGTTCTTTTGCTTCATCAGCAAGAAATATTCAACTCTAATAAAGAAAAATGTTTACGAATTTTGTTGTTTGAATGGTTTGACTTAATTATTCCTCTTGTTACCGTGTTGTTCTTCTTCTCCAATAGTTGAAAAAAAAAAAAAAAAAAAAAGAACCCTTTGTCTCTATGCACATCGCTCCATGTTGTAAGTTACCCCTAATATTGTAGATGAAGATTACATCATTTGGTTTAAGAAATAAGGCTAATTAACCCTTCACATTTTGAATTGACCATTCACCCATTTTGAGTGAATCATTATTCCTTTATCACATGATAAGAATAGTAATTCCAAACTCTTTTCTTCATTTTTTTCATAATTACTCTTCAATATTATAATATAATTACAATATATTATATAGTTGTTATATCTTATAATATATAATATAATATAATTATAATAATAAAATGATATGATATAATATAATATAGTTGTAATATTGTTACAAATAATATTATGATTACATTAATAATTCTAATATTATTATTTTTTTATATAATATGATCTTATTAATTATATTATATTGTATTAATATAATTATGTTTATTATATTAATAAAAATAAAATAATTAATATTATTAAATATTATTAAAATCTTATAATTTTAAAATTATTATCTATTATAGTGTATTACACACGTTATGACTACATAATGTATTATTTATAATATATTTATTTAATATATATTTAATTATTACATTTTAATATTGTATTGATTATATTGATATATAAAATATTAGTGTTATATATAACATAAAGGTAATTTTGTCAACATGAAAATATTCATGTCCAATTCTATAATATTCTTAAAATTACAACTAAACAAATAAATTAACTTTATTTTCTATTCTAATACCATTATATTTTTATTCTCATTACTATTATTATTTCTCATTGTAACCAAACGCACCTTAAATACAACTAACAGGCGTACTATTACCACTAATAAAGACTTATTACGAGCTGCCATTTTGATCCTACTACTTATAACAACTAGCTCTTTTAATTGATGCTCCAAAATTCTTTAGATAGTTGATCAAGAATACAAATTGTCCGGCCATTTGAGCTTCATTTACCAAGAAAGTTGTATAAAATACTCGTATGTATGTATGCAGGTCGGTAGGCGTATGCATGTATGCAGGCAAGGTATACAAATTCAAATGAACCTGAAAGCTGGACTGATGGTAATTAGTCAACTTTTGAAAAAGAAAAAAAAATTATAATGTCAAAAGTCAATTCTCTTGTCGTTTTTATGTGCGTCAATCTTCATGATCTCAAGGCAGCATTCGTAATCGGAAAAAAAACACACACAACATTCGTAAAGGTTTTTGAATATCCACTCTCTGCGAAATGTTGACAAATGGCGGATTATAATATATGATATCGAAAGTAAAAACTCTGACCAGTTTTAAGTTTTTAATTTAAATTTAAATATAATTTTATATAAAATTTTTTTACTATAATAAAAAAATTAAATGTAATTATTTTACTGTAACAAATTTTAAATTTTAAATTTAAATTAATAAAATAAATAAATTATTTATTTCTCTTTGTGTCTCTGCGGAAGACTGTAATTGGTTAAAATATAAATAAACAAATAATAGCGTGTGTCGTACTATTTCACTGCACGGGCCTTATTCTTCTGTCTTTTTCTTTGGAGAGAATTGAGTGGATAATTAAATCAACAAAATGGGCAAGTACGCAAACTATTATATGGTTCCAATTAAAAATGGTCAACATTCTATCTGACTAGTATGTAAGGGACGTGCCGTTAATAAGAAAAATATTCTTTACTTTTGTATTTGTTTTTAAAGATTCATATGAAATTCTTAAGTATAATTGATGATGTTTAAATACAAAAATTATATTTATGGTTGTTTGCGATGTGGAACACATGTTAAATAATTCAACTTATTATTGAGTTTAAATAAATATCATTTACATAGTGAAGCATAAAGATGTAAATATGGATCAATAAATGCAATCTATTTTTTTATTGGAAAGTATGATCATAAAAACCATTTTAAAAAATTGGAAAAATTATTTTAGTTTGGCAATTAATTAAAAAAAGGTATTTCCTGTGGTTGTATTTGAAAAAATACTTAAATTTTAGAAGACTATGTTAAATAAATATTTATCTAGGGATGTACTTGAGAAAAATATTTTTAAATGATAAATTAAAGGAATACAGAGAAGAGACCGAAAAATATACCCTTTAAAAAAAAAAGAAAGAAAACCAACCAAACAAGATTAAAAAAAAAAAAAACTAAGCTAGCAAGTAATTAAGTGCAAAATCCTTTAGTGCTTGTTTGGTACATGGGTTTTGCTATATTACAAACTTGTGATTTTAATTCTGCTACAATATTTTTTTCTTACAAAAAATTTAAATTTCAAAAGTTATAATTAAAACCACTTGTTTGAACCCTGATCTGAACCAATATACCTAACGAGACCTTCAATGTACATGCGACACTTTGATACTTTAGTTTTTTTTTAATTATTTTTTAAATAGAAAGAGAACCTTCGATATTACTAAATAAGGAAAAGAAAAATATTAGGAGTGAGATGGTAAAACATAACAAAAAAATAATTTTCAGGAATTTTATTAAATATCACTTTGACTTGTAACAATTTTTTGTAATTACGTGTTTATAACATTTTTTTAAAAATAATTACAAGTTTAGAACGAATATGGAAAGATAATCCCAAATTTTTGTTTTAAAAAAAATATATATTTTAATGAGAAACATTTATATAATATTTTAAAAAGGGAAGCAAATTAGACGTTGAAGTGAAAATCTAATCATAAAAAATGATTTTTTTTAAAAAATCATTTTTTAGGCTAAATGGTTTAAAACGTATTGATCAGGACTACATTTGAGAAAATGATGAAAAAAGCATTTAACATGGACAATTGAAAAAAAAAAAAACAAAAAAAAGTTGATAAGGAAAATTTTAAACAAGGTTTCTTAAAAAAACAAAAAAAATGCTAAGCACACAAACAAGTGCAAAATCCATATGCCTCATCCGTGCTTCCGTGCTTCTTATGTTAGGTAATAGATATACAAATGATGAAAATTTCTGTTGACATTAGTGTAACAACCAAAGAGAGAAAAAAGCTCTGGAATCATGCTTGGTGATTAGTGCGGATGTGCGAATTTGCATTTAAAAATGACTAGCAAGGAATAAAAGGGCACAATAGATCCTAAATATTTTTCGGCTGGATGTGCAGATTAAATCTCAATTTTTGAACGAGGGAAAAAGATATATATATATATAATCTGACAATTCGCAAATTTTTTAGCGGCTCAGATTTATTTTATTTTTAGTTGGAAGGGGATAGATTTGAATTCTACGACTCACAGTACTGATAAGATTTGTTCTATGTGAGTTTTAGCTCCTTTTCTTTAGTTTTTCTGAAGGAACAATTGTAATGTTGAACAAACATAGTAGTCAATCAATCATCAATTTTTACCCCGCCCCATCAGATCTGTATTCCAGTTGCAAACAATTCAATTCATTCAAAAGTTTGTCAAACAATTATGTACATATGAGATAGTGTCCTAATTCAGACACGAGGATCATTTGGTGCAAAAAATTTCTCTGAAATCATTCTTGATGAATGTTATGGATTGCCGCAACGACGCTTTTACAATCAAATTCCATGGTCTTCATCCAGTTCTCAAAATCTCCGATTTCCTGCGAGGCATGATCCACAACAAAAGTAAACAAACAAGCACATCCTACTTTCGAAGGCAAACCTAACGAGGAAAATGAGATGACAAGATCGCATTACGACTTCCCTTTCCCCCAAATGCATTATGACTTATCCATTAAGGGTTATCTAAACAGGGCACCGGAAAATACTATATGTTTAAGTGATAACCGGACAGTTTGAAATTCAATCAGCACTTATAACAGTAATATTTTCACATAGCTTTTTCCTTTCCAAATATATAGATTTGGGCGACATTCATTTTGCAAGTTTCTACTTGATATTATCACTCCATTCTTAACCACACAATCCCGCTGGTCACTCCGCGAAAATAACACGCGGACTCAGCATAAAACTCACAGAGAGATAAATAAGCTCATTTCGCTAAGACCCTAAACTCCGGTCGTCGTAAGAGTATGAAAACAAAGTTATCGAAGACATAATGAACAGCCTTCTTCTCCTCTAAATTTTCTACTTTCCTCGAAACTTTAACAGCACAAGTTCAATCCTAAGTGAACCAGAGAGTACATGAAGAAAGAGTAATCCTACGACACAAAGGAATAATGTTATTAACAAGCCTTTATTCTTAGCCTAGGACAATATCTGACAACCACAAGCTCTAGAACATTGTGGAAAAACCAAATTTGCCAGAACCTGAAACAAATAGCAAAACCTAAACCAAAGCAAAACCCACCATCTCGGATCTTTACTTTCCAAACAGGTAACTATTCAATATAACTTGTTAGACAGAATCTATTAACAATACTCATCCAACCTTCCCATCAGTCTTAAGGAAAATTCCCAAAACCAAATAGCTAAAACACAATAAAAAACTAGCAAAACATAAACCCAATTGCAAACAGAACAAACATAACAAATTGGTATCATAACGTCTTCTTAGTGCCTATTAGACACAACCCAAAGACAATCTATATCCATCATAGCTAAAAGCTACCGTACAAGAGCAAAATCATATAAAAAAAAGTGAAAAAATCTAAAACCATTATAGATGAGCAATATCGAAATTGATACAGGAAAAAAGGAAGAACCTTGACGGCGGTGTTAATAGCGTGCGTGGCGGCGAGCCATTGGTCGGTCTGCTTCATGAAGCGGGTGATTGTCGCGGCCAAGGCGCGAATTTCGAGCTCGATGCACTTCTCGTTAACGAAGAACTCTTGAACACCGCCGTTCACCGCCTCCACCAACAGATCCGACACGCGCGCAGCGTTCCTGATCGCCTCCTTCTTCTTCTTCTCTGTCGAATTTCATCAAAATCTCAAAAATCTAATTGATTTTGAAAGAAAAACAAAAAGGAATTTTGGACCAGAAAATGGTGATTTCGGGGACTCACCGGTGAGTTCGCGAAGCCTAAGAGAGGATTGGTGGTGATCGTGGACTAACTGAAGAAGAGAAGATTCCAGTCCTCCGGGCTCTGCGTCGGAGGAAGGTGTAACGCGCGCACGCGCCACCGGAAGAGGTGTCGGTGAATACATCTCTCAAGGGATTGGGTTTTGCGTGCCGACCGTAGTACCGCAGGCAAGAACATCATTTTCAGGTGGTGTTATGTTGTTCTTGGCTCATTTGCTATTTCACCCCTGAATTTATCATTCACTGGCAACGTGTCTGCTAAACTCTTCTTTTTTAGCAATTTAGCCCATAAATTCAGAAATACGTGGCAACGACACTCCAATTGGTAACAATTTATTTATTTATTTATTTATTTGAGAGAAATTGACACATGAGGTGCACATGAATGTTAATAATAGTACGAGTAGCCATTTAAATTAGTTTTATCCATATTTATTGGTGTTCGAGTTTTTTAAATTCAGAAATAAAGGATGCGTTTAAAATTAATTTTTACTTATTTTTTAAAATATTTTTATATATCTTTTGAGATATGAAAATGTAAATAATCTTTAAATCGTATTTATTTAGTAAATATTTTAAAAGTGAAAATGAAAACAAAAAGAATGAAAATGCGTGGTTGTAATAATTTTTCATATCTAGTGAATTTCTCTCTCATTGTCTTTGACAACCAATTGTCTTGTGTCTATTTTTATTTCTCAATTATTCTTTGATAATTCTGTCAAGGAGATCCGTATTTTTTCAACAAGTGATATCAGAGTTAAATTCGGAGAGAAAATGCAGATTTATCAGGGTGAAGTATTGTGAACAATTATTGTTGCATAATAAAATCACTGTTCAAAATGATTGTGGATAATGTTCACGAATAGTAAACACTAATTCTGCTGACATTTTTATATACGGTGACACTATTCATGTATATTGTTCATACGCCTGTAGACGACACTGTAGCAACGCACGTTACTGTAGCAAGAGTAGACCAACATGAAATAGTTGAGCCTACATGCCATTTCTTCTGTTTATAGCACGGCAATTCTTCTGTTAACTTTAGTCCACCACCAGCTGTGGGCGTCCCTTCTCAAGCTTTCCGTTGACGGTGAATTTTCGTTAACAAAAACAAGTCGGGTTACCTCCAGATTTTTTGTTAGATTACCGGCTTTAATTGAGATTATATGTAAAAGTTTTGTGCCGAAGGTGTTTGTGGTATTTTTTGTGTAGTGAGCAATATAAGAAAAAATACTTAAAGTAGAAAAACGCATAAGATTTATAGTGGTTCACTCTTATAAAATGAAGAGCTACATCCACTGGGGTTTTTTATTCCTTTTGAGATTGCTACAATTTACAAATTACTCTCTCGTTCTTTTTTCTTAAGAAAGATAAACATTTTTTTCCGTATGAGGTTTCTCTCCTTTTATAGCCGAGCTTCCTTCGTCGGGGGGGTTTCTTCCTGTAGGCTGAAAAAGCACTCAAGTGGTCTGCCCTTTTAGGCCCAGCCCATAGCCCACTAATCACTTTTTGTGCACTGTTCACTCAGCCAATTAGTCTCCCATTACGGCTATGTGTTCAGCTGTAACCCTTTTCTGTCCCCCGTATGAGCGGTTTTAAGGGTTTGCATTTAATGCATGTACTGCAGACATCTCTCATTTCCGCAAGCAACTGACAATGTCAGGCTTTCCCCTCTTCGGGCATTCCTCTCGTCGTCTCTGTTTGCTCAGCCTAATTTTCTTCCTTGGCAATTGCTTTCTTCCCGAAGGATTCCTGCCGTAAGGTTGACGGTACGAACTGTCGTCGTCATGAGGAGTCGGCGTCGAAGGTTGAGCTTCCCTTACAGCAGAAGGAAAAGGTGTCGAGGGTTGTTGCCTCTTGAGGGAAAGCGAGACCACGTGTCGCACTATTGTTTGCCCACGCGTCATCCATATTTTCCCACACAACACTTTCCTTTGACAAATCACTCTCGTATGTGTTCACTAGGATTACTACACCACCAAAATACTTTCTTGATTACATATGGCCGGCTTGGATGTGAGCTCCACCAATCACCGATATTGATTTGGTTGATATATAAATAACCCTCATAAATGTAATTTAATTTTTTCACCGAAATGCTAAAAGATAAGAATTCTATCGTGATCTTCTTCATTATATATTAAATACATAGGTTTTCTATTTAGTTGTCACCACTTATACAACTAAGATTCTTTCATTCCCAATGAAAATAAACAACACCATTGTCTTACCAAAGTAAAATATCCGACTTTATGATTATAACTGACTAGCTATAAATTTATACTATGTCCATTGAAATTATATCTTCCTTATATAAGTGCCTCATATTATATAACTAAAAAAACTTAATCATAATGTTGGATCTTTATGATATTTACATGACAATGTAATGTGCAATCACCATATATATTACTAATAAAAAAATGGGTAAATCTTATTCATCATAATCTGGATAATAGTTTCTACATATGTTGTTTAGGCACATATCCTAACAAATAACATCATCTAACAAGATTCTATTAATGTTTCAGATTAATTCTTAGCCTATACCACGCATTAAAATTTGAGAAAGTTAATTATCTGGGTGGCTTGGTCTATCTAATCAGGACATACACTTGTGTCTACTCTCTAAAGATCCTAAATCATGTTAAATGAATCTTACGATTCGTATCTTTATCTAATCTTCATTAAGGTGTTTTAGATTCATTGAACATATGGCACTAAAAATAGATAAACCAGGAAGAAAGTATTCCTCTAAACTTTGAATATGGTTCGGCGGCGGGGATGCATACATATAATTATTTCATTTTCATGCACTTAACTGGCTTTTTTTTTTTTTTTTTTTTTTTTTTTTTTTTTTTTTTTGGAAGGGTACTGGCTGTTTCATTAGTATGTCAAGTTTAGTTGGCGAATTAGTCCCCCTCATACTAATTCATGCTCATTCAATGCTTTCTTTTAATTAAAACAAAATTAAGTGTCATTTTTAATCTTGAGAAATACTAACATCACTCTTTTGTCACTCTTTTTGTCATTTTGTGTAAACACTGTTATGCTGACATTTCTCACGTAATGTATACCTACTTCACAAGTTTATTCACGGTTTTCAATACTAGCTAGCTAGTTAGAGTAACTCCTATCATGTTAACTATTTCATGTTTTTAGTTAAAATAACTAATGATTTAGCTGTGTTTTAGATTTTCTCCACTCCAACCATTAACTAAATGGTTAGCCATTTTAGAGAATACCTTTTACACTAGTTAAATATAGCTAGCATGGAGTGGCTAGCTATTTTATTTTTTGTATTATTTTATCCTTTCAAATATAATAAATGCAATTAAGATTCTTTTTTAACTATGTCCATTGAAATTATATCTTCCTTATATAAGTGCCTCATATTATATAACTAAAAAAACTTAATCATAATGTTGGATCTTTATGATATTTACATGACAATGTAATGTGCAATCACCATATATATTACTAATAAAAAAATGGGTAAATCTTATTCATCATAATCTGGATAATAGTTTCTACATATGTTGTTTAGGCACATATCCTAACAAATAACATCATCTAACAAGATTCTATTAATGTTTCAGATTAATTCTTAGCCTATACCACGCATTAAAATTTGAGAAAGTTAATTATCTGGGTGGCTTGGTCTATCTAATCAGGACATACACTTGTGTCTACTCTCTAAAGATCCTAAATCATGTTAAATGAATCTTACGATTCGTATCTTTATCTAATCTTCATTAAGGTGTTTTAGATTCATTGAACATATGGCACTAAAAATAGATAAACCAGGAAGAAAGTATTCCTCTAAACTTTGAATATGGTTCGGCGGCGGGGATGCATACATATAATTATTTCATTTTCATGCACTTAACTGGCTGGTTTTTTTTTTTTTTTTTTTTTTTTTTTTTTTTTTTTGGAAGGGTACTGGCTGTTTCATTAGTATGTCAAGTTTAGTTGGCGAATTAGTCCCCCTCATACTAATTCATGCTCATTCAATGCTTTCTTTTAATTAAAACAAAATTAAGTGTCATTTTTAATCTTGAGAAATACTAACATCACTCTTTTGTCACTCTTTTTGTCATTTTGTGTAAACACTGTTATGCTGACATTTCTCACGTAATGTATACCTACTTCACAAGTTTATTCACGGTTTTCAATACTAGCTAGCTAGTTAGAGTAACTCCTATCATGTTAACTATTTCATGTTTTTAGTTAAAATAACTAATGATTTAGCTGTGTTTTAGATTTTCTCCACTCCAACCATTAACTAAATGGTTAGCCATTTTAGAGAATACCTTTTACACTAGTTAAATATAGCTAGCATGGAGTGGCTAGCTATTTTATTTTTTGTATTATTTTATCCTTTCAAATATAATAAATGCAATTAAGATTCTTTTTTAAATTTAATAAAATTATTTATATTTTAAATTCAATAAATATTAAAATAATATATATTTAGTTAAAATAGAGAATATGATTAGAATGACTCACTAAAAAAATTACTAATTAAAATAATTTTTTAACCATTTTACCTAAAATTTAGCTAAAATTAAATGCTCTTAGCATAGTTTATACGGAAGTCATGAGTAATCAATTTTCTGCATGTGGTCTTTTTTCTTTCACTGGTGTAAATTTCAATTGCAAACATCATCATTCATGATTATCTAGCTCTCCGTGTATATATGGAACAAGATGGAAAGATATTGCCATTTTGTTTTCTTATTATTTACCGTTAGCTTATCACAACAAGTGTTATGAATAGTCAAGAGCCATGATTGCACTAGTGCTCCTAGTCATGGCGAAATGATGGACGTCGTTCCTCAATTTGTCAAGCATACAAATTTATGAAAATATCAAACTTAATATGACTATCCATGCATATTATAACGACATCGTAACCACATATAGCATAGCTAGAGGGCAGAATAATCATCAAATTTTCAAAGTAATGTTCCATGTTTTTCACGACATTAATACATTAGTTAGAACAACCCTACCTTTATTAAGTGGACAGCACAATATATATAAAGTAGGTACGTAACTTCTAAAATAATATATGTCATTGACTTTTCTTTGCTTATAAATTATAGTACAAGATAATTGGAGCTTTGAATCAATTATTGGTATATACATATAATTGTTAGTAAGGGAATGAAATAATTCTTCTTATTGATATATATAAGGGAATGAAATTCTTCT